GGGGCTGTGGGGAAAGAGGAACCCTGCTCCACTGCTGGTGGAAGTGTAGACGGGTGCAACCACTGTGGAAATCAGTATGGAGATACCTCAAAGAACTAGGACTGGAAGTCCCATTTAACTCAGCTATTTGCTACTGGTTATCTTCCCAGAAAAATTAAAAGAATCATACCACAGTGATATATGTGCACCCATGTTCATAGCATCACAGTTTGTAATCAGTAAAGCTTGGAAACAGCCCAAGTACCCATCAACTGGAAATGGGATAAAGAAAATGTGGGGTTTTTTTTATAAAATGGAGTACTACTCAGCCATGAAGAATGATAAATGAGAGACATTTATAGCTAAATGATGCACATTGAGGTGATACTCTTAAGTGAAATAAATAGGACACACATGTGTAAATACCGAATAGTTTCTCTGGTGTGAGAAACTTAAAGTGTAAATAAGGATCAAAAGGCAAAATAGATATTGTGAAATAGGAAGAAAAGTTCCAAAGGGGAAGGGGAAGTGGGAGGGGTAGGGGAAAGGAAAGAAAGGAATGGAATTAATATGAGAAAATGAAAAAATGGAAACAAAGTCTTTGTAAATAGGGAGGGGTACAGGGGTTGAAGGGAGGGCAAGGGAAGGGGGAATAAATAAGAACCAAGATAGATTACATAAAGGTACAGATTTCCAATGATGAATATTATTATATTGTATACCTAAAATGTACCAATAAAAACAATTTTAAAAATTATGTGCCCAAGAATATTGTAGCAAAATGAATTTCCAGTGTGGTACTTTTGAAAAAAAATGAAATAACAACAATGAAAAAAACTTATATGATTCTGTTGAATTTGTAAGTATAATACAGATTCTGTTCTCTGTCTACCATTTTTATTCTGAAACTCTGATTTCTCACAAAAATATAACCTTTGCCTATAGCCAGAGCCCCATCATTTTACTGAAGTTACCTCCAGAACCATCAGGGCTTGGTTTAGCATCATGGTTTTGTTCTTGTGCAACAATACTTCAAAATTCTAGTGAGCAGCATGGCTCCCATGGAGAAAGTACATTTGGGTTTGAGGTAGAGGTAAATACTGCCCTATTCCAAAGTTCGGGTAGAAACTCTTGGAGGAGAACCTTTGGGTATCTCAAAATAACTATGTCTCTAAATCTCTTGAAAGAAATTTACAGGTATGCAGTCTGTAACCCTGGAGATATTTCTCATGTCCTTATTCTTTCTAGTTTTCTTGGTGTCTCCAGCTTCTCATTTGCAGTTTACTTTTCAAGAAAAACTGTCAATTCCTATTTCTCCAAAATTTACCATCCAGTTCACCTCACTCTCCAGAGTCCATTCTTGCAGGTTGAATTAATCTTCTTCCTTCAGACCTTTCTTTTCACCTCCTCCTCCTCCACCCTTTTTGGACTCATTCTTCCCATCTTTCTGAGCCTCTCTACCCTCTTCAACAGAGACCGGGGATTCCAATATTTGATCATCTCCACACCATGTTATGCAAGAAAAGTCCAGTGTCTTTCCAAGGGTCTCTTCAGCAAGCTCCCAACACCTAGCCTTCCCCTTACTCTTTTGTCCTTAAAGTCCTCCAGGGCCCTTTTGCTGAAGGACACACTGAAGCATTAATATTTCATCCCTGGGGAAGGACTAGTCCAGGGGCATGCTGGACCTTCACGACGTGGAAAAAGAGGCACTGGACAGCCTTGGTACAGCTGAGTCAGGAAGCAAGAGATGGTGCTGAGAACAAATTTTATTTATTGACAAGGGAAGACAGAGGTGACATCACTGCCAGAAAAAAAGGAAAGTTTGGGGCTTCTGGCAAATACTGGGGCAGAGGCTTCCGCAGAAGATGCTCCCTTCCTCTATGAACACTCCGGACGCTCAGTCCGAGACAGCGTGGATGCCTGGGAGGGGATGTGCCAGGTTGAGAATTTCCCTTGGCCCCAGGTTCCGGTTTCCTCCGAAATCCGGGTCTCAGCATCAGGTCCAGGTCAGCAGCCGCCCCCAGAGCTGTGGCCACAGCCAGAGCCCCCACACTGCCGGCCGCTGGCACCATCACACGAGTCCGAGCTCCGCAGCCTGCACCTGTGCGACCTGCGGCGCCTGTGCGGGCTCAGGCAGCAGCCGCCCCCGGAGCTGGAGCTGAGGCCCCCGCAGCCCGCAGAGCTGGGCGCACAGCAGGAGGAGGCAGCAGGCAGACACTGTGCCGGGCTCTTCTGGGGGCACTCGGGGGAGGGGCACTGGGGAGGGGCCTGGCGCTGCTGCTGCTGGCTCTGCTGGCAGGACATCTCGCTGGGGTCGGAGA